ATACACTCTGTGCTCTTCTAAACCAGAGGAGATGGGTGTAGAATTAGCTGAAAAGTACTTTACTCAACTTCTACTAAATGCACCAGCTGCAACACCAGAGGTATTCCAACTATAAAGATGCTCCTGCCTGGTGGCAAAATTTACATCCTCCCACTGAGCAAAGGAAGACTCCAGGTAGTTCTATGTGCACTGTTGATCTGGGGACAACATCGCAGCTCATTGCTTCACTGAGTCTGATCCTAACGTGCCTGGATTTCTTTGTTTTTACAGAAAACTCCCTTAAGAAGTCTCTAATGACGTTTCATTTTAAACACCATACAGCTAACTGTTGTGAATTGAGAATAAAGATATAGGTATGATAAAATGGGTACACTGAAATCTGTTTAACATAGTAGGCAAAAAATAGATTATAAAATAATACTGTGGAAACAGATAAACACATTTCTTGTACTACTAGATTGCTGGACAGAAGTGACAAGCAATATGGAAAACAGCACATTAGAGCTTTACTTTATACCTAGAAAGTTTCTGAGAGGGTTTCACATTGACTGCCACAATTCAAACAGAACACAGGCATGCACAGAGGTGTCTAAAAAGCAGGAAATAGTAAGCTGTGTGGATGTAAGAAAGTCTAGCTAGCCAGCTTTATGATAGTAAAAAGTGATTGAAATCTGAACCTTGCTGAATTTAACAGCCTGCATGTCGCATTTCTCTGGACAGTTTGAAAGGTTGACCAATTTGTTTCAATACAGTGGCCGTTCAACAGCACCAAAAAAAGACAGCATATATTCAAAGCACTGTATGGAAATTCTTCTTCCAAATGTACAGTGTGAAGCCTAAAGTACAAAAGCAGTTAATTTATCACAGAAGCAGAGATTCCCACAGTAACTTATTCAAACTGCTGATGATGCACTAAATCAGAGTGACTGATGAACACATACATAGCAGCAAGTGAAGTTCAAAAGGATACAGACCTATGTGATCAATGAGCTGCCGCATGGCAAATGAAATGCAGTGTTGACAAACGTACTGTAATAGAGATGAGTCTCCAAAATAATCAAACCAAATATAAGAAAAATTCAAATAAACCAGTGCAGAAATGTCTCATTACAGAGCTGGAGGTGCCTATTTACACATATCTAATCACTGTCACTAGACCTTCAAATCAATGGGCTTTCTCTCTATATTTAATACAAAAAAAAAAAAAAAAACCAACTCACTGATAACTTGAAGAGGTGCCTTGCCATGAAGCAGTAAAACCTTGCAGGAAATGTAATACAGTGACACCAGTCATGTAAGCAACCATCTATTTCAAGCACACAGATTAGGAACAACAGCCTACAGATGAAAATCTCACACAAATCCAGTATTATATTGCATATTACTGCCCTGAGTGATGACTGAATGATAATGCCAACTTACAGCTTCTTCTTCTACCAATCTATGCAGTTCAGAAACATAATCAGAGCAAGTGGTGCTGACCAAGCCTCTTCATACTCTAATTGCTGTCCTAGCTGATTAATGGCTTTTTGACTGAAAAGCAACACCACTTTGTAAGAACAGTACTGGCATTCAGCGACATGCACCTCTTGAATTTCCCTGGAGCATAAGAAACTTTGCACATCATTAAAGATGTCAGGACTTTTAAAAAGAAAGAAATCACCTACTGTGAGAAGGAAGGGTTTAATAGACATTTTCCACAAAAATAATAGGTGTGACTTTCTTGCATGCAAGTGTTACCAGCTGTGGCTATTACTGTCATTATTCAATTATTCATTACAGCCAATATAAATATGTTCTCTTTTGGTTTTGTATATGGAGTGCTCTGTGAAAACAGTGAGAAAGTTCTGCCTTTGTTACTAAATCTTTTGTTTGAAAATGTCACATTTCAAAACATCATATGTCTTTGAAGGGCTTCCAGAAAATCATACCTTCACTAGGTAGTCTCTTGGCTGCTGTTTTATTGTGGAATTTCCACACTATAATCCAATGGTCTTTCACAGTATATTTACTGTGATAGGAACCGGCCAGTTATTCTTGATAGAGAGGAAGCTCTCCAAAGCTATCTATGCTGTAAAACTGAGCACCTCTACTACAATTTTACTTCCTTGCAAACTCCTCAACAGAACAGTTTGCTGAACAGTTAGGGATCGTGTGAACCTTTGTACATTTGCTTCAGTTCGTATTCATTGTTAAAAAGTATCCACCAAAGAGCGTCACTCTCCATCAACTTTTTTCTTCTTTTTAACACAACTGATTGTTTTCTTTGACATATAAGGGATTTTTCTCCGCCAAGCTATCTTGAGCTGCTCATCAAAAAGTCCACCTGCCAAGTGATAGCATGTAATTAGATCAAGGAAAAAATGGTAACAAACAAAAAAGGTAGCTATCCCATTTGCTTCTTGCTGTAAACCTTATCTTTTCCTCTCCTTAACCCAAATGTTAGCCTATTTGTTGTAGCTTTTCTTATATAAAAGCTCTTATTCTGTAGCTCTTAATTAGATGACGAATTGTACCTTTGTTTCAATGAAACCACAAACACTCAAACAGAAATAAAGGGCCACTCATTTTGGTTTATGCTAGTGTAATAAGACTACAGGAATACACTTTTTTATCATCTGTGAAACACCTAAGGACATACCTAATATGCTAAAAAGAACCAAAATAATATTAATACTATTAAAACTGATGTGCTCCCCGTACTGGAGGCTAATGAAAAACAAAGCAAATAAGATAAAGTGAAGGTCCTTCAGAACTCAGTTACTCAGTAAGTCATTAGAATAACCGAGGAGGAATGAACCATCAAGTGCACTTTCAGAGTATTTGTTATTTGAAGAGATTTATAAATAGTAGTAATACTTGATTTTGCAGCTATCCTTAAGAAAGGCCATTTAGTTGAACATTAGAATTCCGTGATAAAACTGGATTCAAGGCAACATAATGTGAAATCCCAAGTAATGGTACCAGGGCTAAAGAGCTAAAAAGCCTAAACCAATGCATAAGAGAAAGGATAAATTAGTCCTCTGGTTCCCCTTACCATTAGCAAAGCTAGCCTCCCAGCTCTACACTGCAAGAACACTATTTTGTTAGATCCATAAAACACAAAGAATGAAATGATTGACAGACATTTCCAATTGTGTAATATGTAGTTTATGAACGAGCTTATGAATTTTATGTTTTATTTTGTTCAACTTGGAGACATACACATGGAAAATCTCTATCTGGATTTCAAACAGTTTTTATAAAAGAAGTTAGAATATCATCTTCCTACTGAACTGGTGCCAAGAGTTTCACTAGTCAGATTTCACAGTTAGATTTTTCATAGACTTTCATTAGCAAACAGAAGAGTTTCTATTTAGAGCAGAACCAGTGAAAAGCAGAAATAATAGGAAACCACTCAAATCAAAAAACAAAGCTCCACTACAACTTTATGGTAATTATGATTATTTATTCCCTGCATAGCTCTATTCTTTGATCTGAACTTCTTTCTAAATTTATTTCAGGACAACTTTCACACTGTTATTTTTCGTGCAAACATAGAAGAAAATACAAAAATGGGGTTTGAGAAGTATGCATTAAAACTTTCCCTTTCTAAAACACTGAGCAAAATGCTTTTTTTGGGAAAAAGTGTTATTGAATTTCCATATGAATAGATCTGTGCACGCAAAAGTTTCTGGCTGGAATATGGAGTTTGCTGGACTAAGAACAGAAGTCTTATTGGCTTAAATGAGATGAGGATTTTACCCTTGACACACAAGATTTTACGAAGGAAACTTGATTTCAAGATTTCTCATCTGGATAAAAAGATTACCCAACTGATCTGACCTGGTGGTGTAAGTAAGAAAATGATCCAACTGGGTCATGTGAATAAGTTATGTTGCAAACCATGAATGTCCTGAAAGCTCTCCAAAAAGCTGTATTTCCCCAGCAGGTTTCCTTTCATTGCCTATTGCATGGAACATACCTCTCTGACATAACCAATGCATTTATTTAACTTTTGTTTTATATTTTATGTTCCTATTTATTTTGGTTAGAGGTAGAATTATTCTGTTAAAAAATGACCTGATCCTAGACGTAGTTTATTTAAATTTCAAAATGAAAAGCTTACTAAGAACAGATAAGATTGATTGCTCTTTCCATCTTAGCATAATTGTATTTCAGGTGAACATCAATTTACTTTAAAGGACACTTCTAAGTAGCAGACTGCATCATACATAATTCATCAATCACAGCTGCCTGTAACATGATTTACTCAAGCAGATTTCAATGGAATAGAGGGAGTTGCATTGTTTTTTTATGCTTTAGCTTGTTTGTTTTATATAGTTTATGAAACACTCGTTTGCACTGAATTATTGCTGAAAAGAGTTCATCCTTGCTAATCAGCATGTTGAATTTCTTTCTCTTCATACATAAATGTTACCTCTTTAAATTTCTTGTGAAAGGCAGAGGGAGTTTTCAAAACATCATTAATTCAGAGACCACTCCATACTTACCAAATGTAAAAATAAAGCTCAAGGATTTTGTTATGGAGGAAGGGAATGCAAAATTATTTATCTGAAAAGCATTACTAGTTTTAGGGCTGTGTATTTTCTAGCTGGCTTGACATCATTTGTTGTAACAACACACAAATGTAATTGAAGAGAAGTAGCTCATTCCTCAGATAGTCCTTCACACAGTTGTCACATGGATAAAATGGCTTTTACACAGCAATCTACACAAAACAGACACAAAACCATGTGCCCGTTAAAGTGCAATCACTTGATACACTAGGAGATATAGGTAAAACTGTGGGCACCACAATATGTGCTATACTACTCAGTGTCTTTCATCAAATTCAGTTTCAGGGACATGTGGTTGCCTCATATGATCCTGAACCAAAAAAAATTTCCACAAATAGATCCAAATGTGATTTTGATCCAAATATGATTTTAAAAGAAAAGAGAGCAAGAGAAACTGCTAAAAATGCACACCTACACAAAGACAGAAATGCCTTTACTTACTTGTAAGCCCATTTGAAAAACAGAGTGACCCATGAAGTTAGCCAACATTCGAATTAGAGCTGCACCCTGTAGGAAATAATAGAGAAAAAAAGAAGTTACTGTTTTTGCATGTCAATATTACACAATAATAACAATCTGAATTAGGCATTTCCATCCAACGCTATCATCTTGGAAATTTGTGACTAATACAGTCTTTATTTGTGCTGGAATGAAAAAGAGAGAAATATAATAATGCAAATGCTTACAAAGAAAACTGAGGAAGCAGACTAATATTGTTAATATCCTGCCCTGTATACTGAGTAAGGCACAGGTTATAAAACACACTCTCCACTGCTGGAGCATGGATGTGTCAGCTCCACAGCTGGTTGCCCCCAGCCCTTCTGTGCACTCAGCAGTACTGCACAGTTTCAAATGAGGGCAAAAAATAATGTCCATGCTAAATGCTACCACAGTGATTATTCATAATATTTTTACCTTCATTATACTATTGCAAATCAGTATTGATATTACTTTCCTTTGTAAAAGTCTTCAAGATCTGATGATCTGGAAGTGGATCATTTTCATAAGAATTTTATAAAATGTGGAAATACATATTTGACTTCTTAATAGTCAGCTTATTTCCCAGACTGTTATGCAAAGAGGTAAATGCTAGTATGACACTCTTTCTCAATTTCACCATTTCTTATCCATTTGCCCCTTCAGGCAAAACAGAGATCTAAACCATTTCTTTTGTTTCACAGATGATTCCAGTTCTCAGTAGTTACACCAAGAAACAGATGGATACTTGCCAGAGTAACTTTCTTTAAGGCATCCCTTTTGTGTTTTCTCACTCCCTCTCAGAACCACAATTGTTGCATATTTTCTGCTTGCACAAGCGCTCTATTTCAAGCAGAAATACTTTTGCAGATCTGATTTGATGATTTAACTATAATATCCCCTTTTCAATCCAATTTCAAGACAACCAGCCTTCCAACCCCATTAATCAAATGTTATACTTAGTACTGATCTCTGCACAAGAGATAGGACACTTTTGATTTAAAGTCACTGAATCAAAGGCCGTAAGAAAATTTGATGCTAGAACTCAACAACCTCAGCCACAGATGTAGGTTCAGGAATTAGGCTAATGCTCAATTAGAAAACAAAATCAAAAAAAAAAAAAAAAAAAAAAAAAAAAAAAAGGAACATTTCACAGATTCATAAAATCACAGGTTCTAAAGCTAAAAGGACTACAACAATAATGTAATCAGACTTCCTGCATTAATAGAGGTCAAATGGTAATTAAGGCAAAAACCCTATTGCTTCTCTTTACACAATAGCATCTATTTTAGGAAGATGGAAGAACGGGAAAATGTTTCATAGTATTACATGACTTGTCACAACTAATATTTACTCTCACAGTAAAAATGTGCACCTTTTACTATTTTGAATTTCTTCAGCTTCAGCTTTCAAAAGAAGATTTTATGTATTTTCCTGATAGATTGAAGTTAGTTCAGAATAGTTTTGGAATTTAACAGTTGCCCAATTTTAGACCATTTTACACATGTTCCACTGATTTTTTTGTATAGTGACTATTTTTGAAGTATTGAAGGGAATATCTATAATAACTAACATTTGAAATAATGACACAAATCAAACAGATTCATAAATTAGTAATAAATTGTAAGAAAACACCACAAGTTCTTCACATAGGCAGCAACAACAAATAATACATAGTTAGCAAAGCAGCTGAAGGAAATAAAAAATTAAAAAAATTATTGAGGAGATGTTTCTAGTCACTTTTAAGAATTAAACAGTGGATAAACCAAAAGTGGTGTTTGCATTACTAACACTATGCTGTACATTTTTATGGTGGTACATAATCTTACTGCAAGACCAGTCATGTCTGGAACACATAGCAGCATAGGAAATAATCCCTATCGAAACAGATTATTACCCAAACTGGCAAGACCACAGCTCAGGAAGCATAATTACCCTTATTTTACTAGAGGAACAGAGTAGGTAAAGTTCTCAGACACATTTAAGCAGATAAGCAGCAAGTAAGTCTGTCAAAGCAGACAAACAGAAGATTAAAAAGTCCTAATAAATAGATAAATCCTATTTATTCTGTAACTTGTGCAGGGCAACTGAAAACATCTGTAACGGAACCAAAACTATACAAAATATTAAAGAGATCAGCCTAAATCCTTAACGACAAAGACATTCTTCCAGTCACCAAACACATCCTTTTTCCTACTCACCTGTTAGTATTCCAGGGTCTCCTTGTTTCTTTCTCACAGTTTAACATATTTCACATAGTAGCAATGGACATATACATATATATATATATATAGGCACTTTAACTCTACTGATTTATGTGAGGAGTAAGCAAGCAAATACCTTCATATGATCTTGCCCATAGAGTCTTTTCTATCCAGAGACCGAAAACTGTCAGATACACATAAAAAAATTACAGAATTCCTCTCACAGGTAACATTTAGCCACACATTAGATGGGACTATGGGTGGCCTTTACACAGCAAACAGAATAAAAAAGCAAGCAAAGATTGAGTAGCAGATCCAGGGCACAAAGGCAGGATCGACCCCTTTTCACAGCTAATTTAGAAGTACTTTCTACCAATTAATTACCTTCAGGAAATCCAGAAGTCCTACTTAGAGCTTCCAGAACAATATGCTTGTCCCAGTTCTGCCACCTTCCCCACACAGGGAAAGCAAACGCCTTCTTGACTTATTTGAAGAAGGGAGTCTAAAAAAAAAAAGGGCAAACCAGAAACCAGAGAACCTCAAGAGGAAAAAACTGTCTTGGGGAGAAGGGAGGAGAAACAGGAGCAAATGCAGCCCTTGCTGTGAAGGGAAAAGAAATGAGAGAAAGAAAAGGGAGGAAACCACACACTACACCTTTCTTGCACTAGAAAGGCAGGCAGAACAGAGAATAGTGATACATTCGTAAGAAGAGTAGAAGCAATCAATACATTCCCAGCTCGGGAAAGGAAAGGGAAAGGCAGCAAACACTGGCACTCTGACTGGAGATGAAGAGAAATAGGTTTGCAGGCAGAAGGATAAAAAGTAAGAAGTATGCAGGGTAACTGGCATAAGGAAGAGGGGCTTACTAAAAAGAGGAGATTGGAAGATGACCCTAAGCAGAGAGTACTGGGAAGTAAAGAAGGTATGTACAGTAAGTTCAGTTACAGGAGTAATAGAATACATAGACTTGGGGTCATCTAAATGGCCCAGTGTGCCAGCATTTTCACTGCCTATCTGCCTAGCAATCAGTGAAATAGGTAGAGTTCAGAGGATCAACGCTTCCATACGTTTTGAAAGCTTCTCTGACCTAGACCTAAACCTACAGAAGAATCCTCAATCACAACAAATCTGTCCTACTGCAGAGAATACTCTTTGGAACCTGTCAGCATTGTTCCCTAAATGCCCTGACATGCAACCAATCTGCTCCCCACTTCACTCTCGGGGCCACTTTTGCTCTGGCAACATTTGTCCAACTGAGGAATGACATAAGGAGTCTTGAAAAGTGAACCTGGCTCTCCTACAGGCCAGAATAGCTATTTATTAATGATTTAAGTGCTTTCCTTCAGGAAGTGGATGACTCAGTACCTTGTCAAAAGGTAAAACACATTGGTTTAACAGCTCTAGTGGAAAGCAATTCTTTCCTATTCAAAAAATGTATCCATGTTCCTGCCAGTGTAAAATCTGACTCACCTTAAGCCATTGTACCCCATCTTAATGAAAGTCTTCTCAGATAAGTACACTAGATATTCAGTCAATGATTAATGGCACTACCTGGCTCTGGTGAAGCACTGCTCATTAGCACATGTCATAAGTGCTTCATAAGACGCTGATACCAATACTCTGAAAATTAAAGGGAAACTGAGGCACATCATAATGAAATCGTTTGCCAAAGATCACCCAGCATGCTCCTCATATTACCTATGACACAGCTGAAGCTTCCTCAGCCTCAGCACTGTGACTCCACTGCTATAAGAAAATAAGGTGAAACGTGCCGGCTACTCCGTTGAAGTTAATTGCATACAGTTCTTTTCTGCAAAGTGCTCTTGGGAAAAGGCATGCTCATGGGCAATTACACTGGATGAAGTGCTGGAAGTTTATGCTCTTTCTTTCCCTGAACAAACTTGTTTGTACACTCACACCATGGTAAAGACCATCTATAACTAAAATTAGGAGCAAAATTCCTTTATATGTGAGCTGAACTTGTCTTTGAAATCAACAAAATGCAGAGTCACAGTTAAGGCATTCAGTCTGATTCTCTCTATGCCAACATAAAATAACGTGATTGCAATCTTGATCTCAGATTAAATTAAATTAATTTTTAAAGACCCACTCCTACATTTTTTGTTCCTGTAGCATCACTGCAGATCACAATTACTGAAAGTTAATTTAATTCTCTGACTTACCAAATAATCCAATTTTATTATACCTGAATTCTTAAATTAATTGCTTCACTTGCAACCTGCATCCTGTAATCATTTCTTATACAAAAGGTTCCAAATGGAATTTTCTTCAACAGGAAAAAAAGTCTTACTTATAAACCCACAAAAATATGACTACAACATTCAACACAGTACTGTTACACAGCCACACAGGAAGGGATACATGTGACAATGCAGGTATCTGTAGCAGCTGTGCCTACAATTATTTTAGTTGTTTAGACTTCCTTTATATTCAATGGACAGCACCAGTCACTTCTGGGTGCACTTTATCTCAACTTAAAGTAGACCTCCAAACACATTGGGAGAATTGTACCCTAAAAGCACCCATCTCCTGTAATTCACTCCAAAAGTAGCCTTGGGTAACTAGCTCATACATACATTTCTGCATTGCAGACATCTAAAGTGAGGTGAGATTAATCCAATTACACTGTCCAAAAAGGCCATATGGAGACTGATTTCCCACTCTGTTACAAAAGTTCTGTACTAGTAATTAGTTCTGAAGAATTTCTGAACTGTGGAGATATAAAACTGAAGTGACAACATCCTTTTTCTATATATACAGTCTGACAACATATACCATATCTCAGTTTATTCTACACTGTCATAC